CTCTGAGTCCGCTGGACACATTCCTCCCCCTGAGCCTGGTCAGATGCTCCCCTCTGGGCCACCACGGCCCCCTCTGTGTGCCTGTCATGGCTCAGTGAAGCCACCTGCTCATGGGTGGGTTTCTTGCACAGAGATGGATCCCTGAGGGCGGAATCCACCTGGCTCTCAGGAGGCGCTCAGTCACACTGGCTATACTGAGCAGGGTAGTAGTCCAGCTCCTCCAGTGACCTGACTCTGTATGAACGTCCTCAACCTCCCCACGCCTTCCTTTCCCGTTCTGTAAAATGGGGATGGTGCTACTTTTATAGGTTTATAAGATTTATAAAAAGACTTGTAATTATTTAACCAAAGAGAAATAACCTGTGTGCACACAAAAATATGCACACGAATGTTTATAGCAGCTTATTCCTAATTGCCCCAAACAGGAGTCAGCCCAGATATACAGTGAATAGAAAAACTGGCACTCCCATTCAACGGAATGTGATTCAGCAATAAAAAGGCACAAAATGGGCCGGGTGCGGTGGCTCACACCCACAATCCCAGCACTTTGGGAGGCTGAAGTGGGCAGATCGTGAGGTCAGGAGATTGAGACCATCCTGGCTAACACGGTGAAACCCCATCTTTACTAAAAATACAAAAAATTAGCCCGGCATGGTGGTGAGCGCCTGTAGTCCCAGCTACTCTGGAGGCTGAGGCAGGAGAATGGTGTGAACCCGGGAGGCGGAGCTTGCAGTGAGTCAAGATCGTGCCACTGCACTCCAGCCTGGGCGACAGAGCGAGACTCCGTCTCAGGAAAAAAAAAAAGGCACAAAATGTCAATGTACAAAACAATGTGAGTGACTCTTAGATGCACCAGCCAAAGTCACACCAGACCCCAAGGGGTGCAGAGTGTATGATTCCATTTATAGGACATTCTGGAAAAGGCAACCTAGGGGGCTAAGAAGAGGTCAGAGGCTGAAGGGGTGGGATTAGGGCGTGGTTAGGGGCAGGAGGAGGGTGTGACTACAAAGGGAGTGTGAGTGACTGTGAGGGAACATCTGGGGTGATAGAGTTCTGAATCACACCACAGTCTAATGCATAGTTACACAACTCTACATCTGTCACAGTTCAGAACTGTGGATACACACACACACATGCACAGACATTTTACTTTATGTTTAAGCAAATTATATATATACGTGAACAAGAAAAAAGAAAGCATTGTAACTTTCAGCTCAACGCCTGGCATGTAGTGAGTCTTCCATCATAAGAAGCATGTTATTCATTATGATTCTTTCTTGGTGCTCGTCCTCAGTACCAAGGGAGCTGCTGTTGGGGAGGCTGTGTCCTCAGCTTGAGGTGGGGGCAGATTTCAGGCCACAGGCGAGGCTGGTGGAGTCTGGAGCTCCTAGAAACCCCCTTTCCCCTGGACCCCTAGAAGGGCCCCAGGTGAGACTCTTGGTTTCAGCTGCACCGGGGAGCCCTCCTAAGGAGAGAGAATGGACACACTCAGAAGTCAGAGATCATTTTCCCATTGATTTTTGGTTTTCTGCCAGCCATGGAAGATGCTTTTGACGGGACACAAAAGCTTCCCAGAGCTGAGCCTCCTGGGCCACGCCATGTACCCCGTTCTGGCAGCTCCATGGCGATGTAGAGCCCTCTCGAGGCTCTGTGGTGTCTGCCCTTCTAGGTCTCCTGGCCTAGGAGTACCAGCTCCAAATCCAAGTCCTCCTGTGGGCCAGGACCGTATGTAATTACCTGGCTGGGATTTGGTGAGTGTTTTAAAGGCATGTTGGTAACAAGCATTCATTTGGGGAGTTTTAGAAACAAAATCCCAAAGAAGCACCTTTGTCCTTTTAATGAGCTGAGGCCCAAGTGCCCACACTCGGGTTCTCCCTGCGGTAAAGCAGCTTCTTTCATACATCTCAGTGAAGCACACAGGACCCCCCACACTGTGGCTGTGACAGCAGGGGGTGACATCAGTCACCTGGCTAGGCCCTGGAGAAAAGCCTCCACAGCACTTCCTCCACCAGCCTCTCATGCTTCCCGAGTCCCGGGCATCCTGCAGCTCACTCCAGTCGGCTTATCTCCCTGACCTTTGACCACTCTTGTGCTGAGGTCACCTGTGACCCTGATATTCCTGGTCTGGAGAGCGCACCTCTACGACATCCATCGGCAGCACTGGGCGCAGCTGTCCACGCTCCCGTGGCCCGATGGCTTCTGAGCCGCCTGTGATTCCACCCTCGGAGGTTCGCTCCTTCTCAGCCTCCTTAGCCAGCTGTAGCATGTCAGCGGGGACTTTAAATGTTGGCATCCCTCCTAGACCAATCCTGCGCCCTCCTTTCTCCTCCTCCCTCACTCTCTGTTGGGATCTCTTCCTTGCTCCAATGCCATCATGTGCCTGGCTCCCAAAGGCCCCCTTCCAGCCCAGATCTCTGTTCTGAATTCCAGGTCCAGATCTCAAACACCTCAGACCCAGCGTGTCCAAAACTGAACCCTTAGTCCCTCACTGGTCTGCTCCTGTAATGGGCCCCACCCCAGTGGCCAGCATCGTGTCCATCACCGCTCGTCCTTGACACCCCCTCACTTCTCATATCCAAGCAGTGATCATGCCTTTGGACTCCCTGCACAACTTGTCCCCAGTCTGTCTCCTGCTCTTCAGCTCCACTGCAACCACTCTGCCCAAGCCACTGAGGTCACTGTGATGCAGTGGAGTAATATGGGGCCCTATGTGCCCTCCTATACCTACCTCCCCAACAGAAGCTTCCTCCATAAGGCTGACAGAGTGGTCCTTATGCATGCAAATCTGTTTCCTTCTGCTTAAAGTCACCCCTTGGTTTCATATGAGGTGAGTGTCTCTGGCATTTCCCTTGGAGGCTGCAGCCTCACATTGCCCTACCCTATACTGTGCTCAGTCGGCTGCAGCTGCCCTGGTTGCACTCTCCAGCCTCAGGGCCTCTTTGCACAGGCTGTGCTCCATACCTGCAGCCCTCCTTCCCATCCCCAGCCCCCTACCTGCCTGTTCCCTCCTCTTCTCCAGGTCTTAGCTGAAATGTCCCTTCATAGTTCATGCAGAACCTGACACCTCCCCCGCCCCACCCCCATGTACCCACAGCAGTCTGGCACTTGACCATGAGTTAGGTTTGTCACATAGTATAATGCCTGGGAATGCCTGGTGGGCACTGAGAGGGCAGGGCGCCCTCAGTCTGTATCCTGAGTACTTAGCGCTGGGTCTGGCACTCAGCAGGCCCTTGATAAATACTTGTTCAGTGCCTGGAACTGGATAAGGTGGCGGGGATGAGGTAGGGGGCAAAGGGGAAGGCCTGACTCATGCTAACGACTCTCTGAGCCCAAACCGAGAATACCCCATAAGAAGCCAGTGCCTTGAATGTCTTCTAATAGCTCATTTCCTCTGGGACTCTGTTCTGCAGTCTTCTGCAGGTAATGTGATCTTTGAAATCATCTTTACATAATGTGTGAAATTAGTGTGCGAGCCCTCCAGGCTCACTATGGGGTGTTTTTGTTACCGTACAAAAGAAGTACCAAATGGTGTTCACCAGTGCAGCTGTCTGCTCCTTTAAAATTAACACCAGAAACTTCCCAGGGACAGCAGGACAATGATTTTCTCTGGCAAATAGTAGCATGGATGGAAGCACATAACCCATTGGCTAGTAACCAAAGTAGCTTTAATTCAAGGTGGCTTTGAAGGTTTCTTAATAGAAATGCCAATCAGTTTTCCTCTGCTAAATTTACAAATTGAGATATATTTTTCTCATTAAAAATGATTACCTTTAATGCTATTAAAATGTCATACTCAAGATATCATAATTTCAGAAACACTATGAATTTAGTATTTGGAGGATGCAGACGTGAGTTTCACAGTGCTCTGAGAACACACGGCATCTCCTTCAGCATCACCTGAGCTCGACACAGTTTTACCTCCCTTCTTAATGAGTTGATAGAGAGATTTGCTTCGAGTCATGTACCCATGTCGTAAAAGTTCTTGTTGCCATATTTAGAAGACTATGTCCAACATAAATTCCACTCCCAGATCTCTTTCCCGTAATGAATCTCCATCGACATAATGAGTTCCTTGGAAGAAAGGCATTGTGTAAATTAAAAATACTAATGAGTCATAATGATAATGAATTAGTTTCCTTATTACTGGGAGCAGGACTAACCTTGGGCAACTTTTGCAGTAGCTGAAGGTGCCTTCCCTCCTCCCAGGCCTGCCCTCCCATGGGATTCTGTACTTTAAAATATCTCTTTTTCTCTCATCAAAACCTTAAGTCACCCAAATGTCCCTGATATTAATAGGAAGTCTTAGAGGAAAGGAAGTTGTTGACCTGGTTCACAAGAAGATATGAATGACTAAAAGCACCCATTAACCATTTATAACAATGCCCTACCTGTGTCTATCCAGAGACATTCTTATTTATTTATTTTTGAGACGGAGTCTCACTCTGTTGCCCAGGCTGGAGTACAGTGGCACAATCTCAGCTCACGGCAACCTCTGCCTCCCGGGTTCAAGCGATTCTCCTGCCTCAGCCTCCCGAGTAGCTGGGACTACAGTTGTGGGCCACCACGCCTGGCTAATTTTTGTATTTTTAGTAGAGATGGGGTCTCGCCATGTTGACCAGGCTGGTCTGAAACTTCTGACCTCAAGTGATCTGCCCGCCTCACCCTCCCAAAGTGCTGGGATTACAGGCGTGAGCCACCGCGCCCAGGAAACATTCTTATTTTAAAGGGTAGCTGGTTATCCTGGGAGAACTGGTGGACTTCCTAACTGAGGTAAGCCAAGTGTCTTAGGGTTTGTGTGGTCACAAGTAACAGGAACCCACATAGGAAGACTAAACAAAAAAATAATTTATCAATAGGCTACAAGGGCAGCCCTCACAGAACTTAATGGCAGAGGCACAGCTGGGCTTTGGGAGGGCGAGGGACAGGACAGGAGAACCTGTCAGCCGCTGAGGTGACCTTCTGCTTCCCGGGGACTGTTGTCCGTGGACTCTTATCACAAGTGCTTCGTTCACTCTCCGTCTCTGCTTTTCCTTGCATCTGGGTCACATACGGCTGCCACTGAGTCACCTGTCCTCCGTTCAGCATCCCATTTTTACACTCTTGTAGGGAGAGTTTGGCTGGGATAGCTTGGACCAGGTGTCACCCGCCCTGGCCCAGTCCATCTGCCCATGGGGTCAAGGCCACATGGGACAAACACAGCGCCTGGCCCAGGGCGAAGACTCAGTTCTGTGTGTGTTGTGGTTATGAACAGGATGTGTTTGGGGCCTACCCCTAAGAAGACGGAATGGGGCATGTTTCCCAAAGAAGTCCACTGCACCAGGCTGAGGAGCTGTTGGCTTAATTCAGTGGGGACCAGAGTGTTGAAGGACTTTGGGGGCAGGAAACTGACATTGGCTCACGTGTTAATGACAGGCCCGTTTGGATCTGTGTGAGCTGGGCAAGGAGCAACTGGTGCCATGTTCACTGAGGAAAGAATGACTTGCAGAATGGGTACCTTCCTTCTCCCTGGCATTGGTTGGCATGCAGCATGGCTGCGTGACTCAAGAAAAGGGAGATGCGCCATCTGTTTTCCACATTGTATGAACTTGCTGGGACTTTGGATAAGTCACTGAACCTCACTGGGATTCTATAACTCTAATTCTTTCAATAAGAGGTTATCTATATGCACACATACCCCCACGTATATGTGTTCACACATATGTGTATGCACATACATACTTACATATTGTGTATTATTTTAGCAGATTATTATTGTGTCTCTCTGGGAGTTTTTTAAAAAGCACCTGCTACTTGGTGGTCCCCTAGACGAGACAGTACTTGGCAGGGACAAGGGACCCAGCCAGCCCTCCCACAGGTGACTGGGAATGAGAGCTGAGCACCTCCCAGGCAGGGAGGACAGGTGCCAAGGGGCTCACCCAAGCTCTCGCCGTCCTGAGAGGAGAGAGGAGGTGCCCTCGGCAGGCAGCAGAGCCAGCCCGGCTGCCAGCTTTCATTTCCCTTCCTCACAAGAGCCATTGATGATGATCCGTCAGGGCAGGCCGACTCGGCAGATCGCTTCTGGCAGAAGTCCTTTCTACTTGTCATAAATTAAATCACAGAGAAAGCCACCGGTGGCGAATACAAAGGAAGTCCAAGACCACTGGCTGGAGGTTAACAGCTGTTAGTGACCCAGGGTTCAGGAGACTTCACAAATCCACAAATACGAACAAGGCAGGCTCCTCCAAATAAATTGGGCTGTGAACAACTAAGAATGCTGTCTGGGATGAAAGTCACAACTGAGAATCACAAATGATAATATAGCAAGAGCAGGACAAAGGAGGCCTGCCCAGAGAACTTTCCAGTCCTCACAGGACATGCATACATTTTTATTTCACCACAAGCCCCTCTGATGCTGTGGGGTGGGCTGGTCAGCTATTATCTCCTGAAAATGCCACCGCACTTGCCTACGGTCACACCGCTGGTAAGTGCCAGAACCAGGGTTCAGAGGGAGGCCCCTGGATCCGCCTCCAGGACCCTTCCCACGATGCCAGGCAGCTTCTGCGAGCTGGATACAGGCCACGTCGCAGGTGGTGCAGGAAGTTGTGGTGAGAGCTGGTCACACAGACACTCCGTGGCATAGCCCAGAAAAGAGCCCAGGGCTCGTCACTTGAAGCCCCTAACTTGATTCCTGCCTCACTTTGGGGTGAGGGGCTTTAAACTCTCCCTTTTTTGTAAACACAGAGTAATAAACATTCATTGTTTAAAAAAATACAGGCATGTATAAGAAGAATATAGAAACGATAATCTCACCATTCAGAGATGAGCATTTTTAACCTTTCAGGGCATCACTCATCCTTGCAGACATTTTCTCTTCATCTTGACACATCTTTCCTCACCAAAATGGAATGGTATTGTTCCCACTGTTTTGTAACTCCTCATTCCATATATATTAGGAATGTCTTTCCATGTCAAATACACTTCAATGTTTTTCTCATTCCATTAGAAATGTTATATGTATATTTCTTGAAGAAATAACCATAAAGTTATATGCTCACTGTAAAAATACTCAAATCCAAACAGTGCAGAAATGTATAGCAAAGGAAGGAAAAGTTTTACTGAATTCCACCCTTGAGACCTAATTTAGCGGTATTGCTGAATTTCATCTTCACGTTTTTCTATGCACAGACTGGACATACAGATGCATTTTTCCTTCTGCAAAGTGGACCCACCTACTGTTTGGCAGTGTTCTTTTTCCCTTCCTGTATTCCTGTAGCGTGGACATCTTTTCCTGTCGGTACATGAGGCTCTAAGTCATCTTTCTTCCAGTCCTGGGAAAAGGAACATTTGGCTTGGAGGATCCTTGGAAGGAGGGACTGCCCCTCAGGGGGCCACTTGCCCTCTTGTAGGGCGCAGGTGCGGGCCAATGGGCCCCACATCAGTCCTGCAGGACCCCCTGAGTGGGGCTTCCTGCTGCCCCCTCACGGGATGCTGTGTGTTGCCTCAGGTGTGTACATTCTCACGACCGGCCCGATCCCTGTGCTGGAGAAAGAACACGACCCCCGAGTGGTGAGGTGACCTTGTGGGATGTTTTGATGGTAATGGACTTTGCTCCGGATAGGAAGTCAGTGGACCTAGGTTTGCTGCCAGGCTGCCCTACGGGAACCATTCTGTCCACATCCACGGCAAAACCCCAGTTCTGTCAGGGGGCCGAGAGGGAGGCAGAGGCATGCCAAGAGCACATTCAGACCCCAGCCCTCTCTGAACTCCCCCAACCCCCGACCCCCACTCCGGCTGTCACATGAGCGTCGGCAAAGCACTGGGGAGGGAGGCCTCCGAAGGGCCAGGGCGGCTTGTGGGGCGCTCAGGTCAGGGTGGTGCTGCTATTTCTGAGGACTGTCCTGCTCGGAGGGGAGGGGACTGGCTACTGGAGCCTGTTCTTCCCCAGCGGGTTGAAATATCATAAACTGGGAGAAAGCAGGAAGAAGACAGTTAATGTAGGCTGCCTTCTCTCTGCTGTGGTGGGCAGAATAATGATCCCTGCCACCCCCCACCCCAAAGTTCATATCCTAATCCTAGAACCTGTGACTGTGTCACCTTTATATAGCAGAAGGGACTTGGCAACTGCAGTTCAGTTCAGGGTCTTGGGATGAGGAACATGTCCTGGAGTATCCAGGTGGACTCGATGGAGTCCCAAGGGTCCTTGTGGGGAAAAGGAGGAGGGCGGGACTCAGAGGAAAACTGACCGTGGAAGCAGAGGGTGGAGGACGTACGTGGCTGTGAGCCGAGGAGTGCTGGCGCAGCCTCTAGAAATTGAAGGCAAGGAATGGAGTCTCCTCTGAAACCAGCAGAGGGGACGCGGCTCTGCTGACACTTGGATTTTAGCCCATGAGCCCCACCTCAGACTTCTGGGCTCCAGAACCATACGAGAATACATGTAGGAGAATACATGTAGGAGAATACTGTAGGAGAATACTGTAGGAGAATACATGTGTTTCTTCAGGCCACTAATTTTGTGGTCGTTGGTCACAACAGCAAGAAGCACTGTTCCACAGAGGGTGCAGAGTGGAAGGGGTCACAGGCTTTAGTTTGTAAATCTCTGTTACCTTTATTGCAGATAACCGTCTCCTCAGGAGGAATGTTGGTTCAGAAACTGAACACCAATGATCTTCAGTGCGAAAGAACAGCATTTGATGGAACTACGGTCTATGCACAAAACAAGGTCAGTGAGATGGGTTTCCCGAGACTGCATTTTACCCACGGGCTACATGGGCCCTTTCCAAGGGATGCTTGCTCTGGGATGCACATTAATTGGACCTTAGTAGTTCATGCAGCACATGAAAATGTTTCCTCACCAAGAGGGCTCCCCTTTGGGGAGCACAGCTCTGCTCAGACCCAGGTGGGCTTTCAGCAGCATCCTGGGAGCAACCACAAAGCTGCGACATCTCCTCTCGGTGTTTCTCAGACCCACACAGAACAGGATCCCAGCAGGGGGATCCATTACCCTGTGCTGCTCAGAGGGAATGAGGGCGGCGAGTGGTCTCTCCTCTCTCCTCTGGGCAGCTCTTGGTTCCCTGGAGTTCCACTGGGAGGGGCTGCACATTGGATTCTGAGGGAGGGAAGGGGCCACAGTCCAGAACCCTTGACTACTCTGAACAGAAAGTAGATTTCTCCAGATGGAGCATCCTTCATCTGAAAATCCCAAATCCAAAATGCTCCAAAATCCAAATCATTTTGAGTGCCGACATGATGTCACGAGTGGAAAATCCCACACCTTTGCTTTCTGATGCTTTTCATGAACACACATTTTGTTTCATGCACATTATTTTAAAAATATTGTATGAAATTCCCTTCAGACTATTTGTGAAGGCATATATGACACATAAATGAATTTTGTGTTTAGACTTGAGTTCTATCCCCAAGATATCTCCTTATGTATATGCAGATATTACAAAATCTGAAAAAATCTGAAACTTGAAACACTTCTGGGCCTCAGCATTTCAGATGAAGGATGCTCAACCTGTACTGCTGTATCTCTGCTTATTACAGCTACATTTAAAAGCCGGATATATATAACTTCCATATTTACAGTTCTTGCCCTTAAATTCACCCGGTAGGGCGCCCACATTGTCTGTAAGGCTGCCAGCACCCTCCGCCTTCCTTGTCGGTGCTGTGTGCCTTCCGAAGGTGGCCCTGTCTGAGACTCTCTGCACCTCCACTTCTTCCACTTGTATGTCCCGGGTGTGCCCCAGTTTTGCTCCCTGACCCCGGACCAAATCCTGGTGAATGACATCTCACGACTCCAAATCCTGACATTTGAAAGACCGGCACTTCTTTACAGTTTTCCCAGAGGACATGGGAATAAACCATCCACTTGTAAATGAGGCCCAGAGATGGAGTTCTTTGCCAAGCATGATCAAACTACCCTGGGATGGGGCAATAGCGTGACTGCAGCTGGGAAAGGGGAGGATTTAAAGATTTTTATTGTCTATAACTGATGTATTCTCTGTGTCCAGTACATTTGCTACAGTCTGCCTAAGGAAGGAGTTAATTAATATATATATACACACATACATACACACACACACACACACACACACACACACATATATAGGCTCACTGCAACCTGCGTCTCTGGGTTTAAGCAATTCTCCTACCTCAGCCTCCCAAGTAGCTGGGCTTACAGGTGCCCGCCACTACACCCAGCTAATTTTTGCATTTTTAGTAGAGACTGGGTTTCACCATGTTGGCCAGGCTGGTCTCGAACTCCTGAGCTCAGGTGATCCGCCCGCCTCCCAAAGTGCTGGGATTACAGACTTGAGCCACCGCGCCGCGCCTTAATTCCCATATTAGCTGAACACACACTCTATGCCAGTCTGTGCTGGGGGCCTGAGGTCCAGCAGTGAACAGAACAGGTACCATCCCTGCCCTCAGTGAGCAGCAAAGAACAGTCACCCAGGCACCTTGTGGACGAGGAACACCTGGGTGCTGAGCGGTGTTATTTCATGGGGGAGGGTCTGCTGTTCCTTCTCTCTCAGCGTTTTGCTGGGTTCGCTCATTGCTTGTTCTCGCCTCCTTTGGAGTGGGCAGGACCTGCTAGGTCCTACTCAGGGATGCTGGGTAAAGACTGATTCTGGAGGAGGGTGACATCAAGCGGCTGTACATGCTGCAGAGTCCAGTGTAAGATAAGCCAGGCTGGGCAGGGCTTTTCTCCTGCCCTTTACCTAATGGCGCCTCCTCTCTCCTGTTCACCCCCTCACTCCTGTCCAGAGACAGCAAGTGGTTCTGACGGAGCGGTGGGCCCAAGGGCACCCGACCATCCATTTTTCTTCCATGCATCCTGGCTGGGCCGACACCTCAGGTATGTCATAGCCTTTAATTGCTGAGCCACTTATGTTTCATCTAAAAATACCTGAGCAGCCGCAGGATTGACTCTCCCTAGGAATGACCTAAAACCAGCGTAATGAGGACTGGGGAGTAGCTTCATTTCCATTTAGGCAGGGGCGCGCTGGGACTGCAGCTGGGGGAAGCCTCACGCAGACACAGAGCTTTTGCTTCCAGCTTGCCCTGTGCAAGTCAGGGAAGGGGATGGTGGGAACGGGAGCGGGTGCGGCTGGGGCACCCTCCTAACTACAGTGTATCCTGGTGAGAGAGGGAGCTGGTGACCACTGTCATTTCCACATCAGAGAGGAATGAGCAGGGGCTGAGGAAGGGAGTGGGAGAGGCCCAGGCTGCCTCACCACTCCCCAGGTTTTTGGAAATAATGATGCATGAAGGTAAATGACAGCCACAAGGACACAGCTCGAATGATCTGGAAGCGTGTTGGAGCAGCAGTGGAGGGTAGCAGAATTCTCTTCCAGATCTGCCTCACCAACTCTGTGACCTCATGCTGCTCACCTGGGCTCTCTGCAGCTCTTTCCTCCTCCACGAACAAGGGAACTGAAAGCAGCAGCAGCCACAGCACACACCCCAGGGTGCACCCGCGGCGCTAAGAGCTGGTCTCAGCGCTGTCTGCGGATTAACTCATTTGTCCTCAAGCCCCTGTGGGGTGGCCACTACTGTCTATGATCACACCCATTTACAGATGAGGGAACTGAGGCCCAGAGAAGCTAAGACCTCCCAGCTGGTCCTGGCCATGGGGTTTTGGGAATCAGGCTCTTACACACCGCTGGCATGGCCTTTCTGAAAACCACTATTGATCAGAAGCCTTGGAATTCATCCTAAGAAATAAAGATAGGGAAAACAAGGTTGCTTATCACAGTGCTGGTGGTAGGAGATGAAGTTAATAAATTATGGAACACCTGTGCAAAATCTGTTCCGGGCTGAAGACTCTGCTGTCAATCATGCCTATGGAAAAACCCTGTGTGCACTATATCATTAAATAAAGATACTGAGTTCCTGAATAGTACATGCCTCGTGATCTTATTTTTGTAACTACCACACCCCTATAGAAAAAGGTGTATGTTGGTGCTTTGTGGCATCTCATGGAGACCAGCTTGGAGATTTGGCAGAAATTAGTCCTCTGCTGTATAGATCTGAGGCTCCTATCTTAAATACAAAAAGGATGGTCTCAGCAAAGTATACCAGGGGAGACTCAGGCTGGGAGTGCTCAGAGAGCATGGCTTCTCGATTCTTCTCACTGCCTAATGGGAGACATACTTGGTTCTGCCTGTCCAGGGTGAATTCTAGGAGGCTGTGGGGGACCCCAGCCTCTTACCCTCCAAGGATACCATTCTGACAATCCCAACATCAGCTCAGATGTTTAAAATCTGCCTGGCAAGCCCACTACTGGGCTCTATCATCTGCGTCAAGGTGCAGTTTACCATGTGTTGTTCAGAGGTCATATATAGAGCAGCTCTCAGGTGCACATGACCTGTCTGTGGCCACAGGGGCCTGAGAGGGCTGAGCATACGGACATTTGTCACCTCTGAGTGACACACCACAAGGTTTTCAAATTTTTTCTTTTTGCCTATCAGTTTATCCTGATTTTTCTACAATAAACAAGTATTGCTTCTGTGAAAAGAAAAAAAGATGTTTATTTTTAATTTAAAAAAGGAGTGCTTTTGCTTAGGTGATCTTTCTAGCTCTACAATTCCAGGATCTCGGTACAGCTCTTAATTGTTGTTTTCTGTGGTTTATTTTCTTTCCTTGGCTTCGAGAGAGAACTATTTTGTTTCCCAATGTGCTCACTGTGGAGACACTGTGTTCCCTGAGGTCTGTGGGAAAATGGGGTGTGGACTGGAGCCAGAGCGTGTGGCTGGGTCCTCGAAGGCGCGGGCAGGTAGAGCGGCCGATGCAGGGCCACCAGCAGCACAGGCCACGGAGGCTACTCCAGGCAAACACCTCCCTGTAGCCCTGGGATGCAGAGGGTGGGACACCTCGAGGGGCTTGGCAGAGGAAGTGAACAATTCTTTCCTCTTATCTACTCCTCCCTAGAAAGAGGAAAATACTAAAACAGTCCAAGGAACCAACAGTCAGGATCCTCGAGCCTAGGATGATTTGAGAGGGCTCCTGAACCCAGGAGGCTGAGTGGTTTGCTCGGCCCAGCCTCACGGTGGGCCTCGCAGCTCATTAGAATCCTCTCAGGATGGAAAGGGGGGCTCTGCGGGCGACTGTGCTCTCGGGGCTGGGCTGGGTGCTGGTGCCCCGGGGACATGGGGACTCAATCAGGCTCCCGCGAGCAGCACTTTCCATCAGATGACACCTTGGGGGCTTTGTAACGAGGTTCTTTGGAATTGGTTCCGAGTGGCTTGGGTGAGTGCTATTGTCAAATATAGCAGTTTATGATTCCATTTCATTTTTACACTTTTTTTTTTTTGTATTAAGGGAAGTCAACCACATTTGCTGGAGAATGTTGTCCTAATCTGCCTGCCCCTTCCTTCTCCCAGGTGTGAGGCACGCGATGCATGCTGGGATTCCACGCCAGGTTCAGGGACCACCTGCGCTCCGAGGCCCAGGGCGCCGACAGGGTGCTGTGGCTGGCCCTCTCCTCTGCCGCAGCCGCGCAGCCCAGCAGCCGCTTCTTTCAAGGTGACTTCCTCCCTGGCTGTGAAGGCAGCTGACACAGGGCGGGGGGCAGCAGCTGGGCTTTCGAGGTGCACCTTCCCTTCCGTGAAACCTGGGATGGGACTGTCCCCTGGGCGGTGCCTGGGCTTCTTTGGCGAGATGATTGCTTTGCCTGCTGAGGTTAGTTTTGGGAAGTGCTTCACCCCGGATTGGTAGCTTCTTTGAAGACTTGTGATAACCCTGTCATCAAGGTCCCATGGGAACAGGGGAGAGGCAGTTCCTACCTTGGGAATGGGAGATTTTCTCTGTGGTTTCCTGAGGCCGGGGGGTGGGCGCTCTTCAAAGCGGCAGTGCAAAGGGAGTAACGGACTCTGCTTCTCTGCACTGCACAGGGAGTGACGGACTCGGTTTTTTTTTTTTTTTTTTT